CGAAAAAAATTCTGGCTACGCCCATGATGATATATATATATATATATGATGTATATATGTATATGTATATATGTATTTCTATATATAATCTTCACTAATAGAAAGTTTTGTTACACATTTGTTTTGAAGCTTGTGTTAAAGGATTGTATGGTATGAACTGCTCACTCCATTGTTCAAATACTTGCAATAACAGCGATTGTCATCCAGTGACTGGACAATGTCACTCTTGCAGACAAGGATTAGAAGGACACTATTGTCATATAGGTATAACAATTAACCTATCGGTATAACAATTAACCTATCAATAATGATCTAATGACATTTAACGTAAATATATTTTAAAAGTAATACATTTAACTGTTCAATATCAATGTACGGAACCAGAACAAATTAAAGTTTAAGTTATACTATATATATGTATAAATGAGTGCAGTGTTTCATACAGGACCGGATTTAAGTATTTGGATGCTCCTACACTTTTTAGAAAGCTTTAATAAAAATCCACTTATTAATAATATTTAAAAAGCATGCCGTATTTTAGAAGAAAGAAATAAAAGGACTTGTACATTGAATGTCATTTTTCTTCTTTTTTAAAAAAAATTATTATATGCATATTTTATTTTTAAATAATGCATATTTTTTATTTTGCGGATGGTAAGGCGCTTGGTTGACCAACTGCCGCCAATCTGAAGCTGTATTTATTACGAGCACGCTAGAAGCAGACACGTCTTACCCTTATAACCATGGCAGTGTTGCCAACCGAAAGATTTAAAGTATTGTCCATAAAAATACGAAATAAATCCTATATAATAAAACACATTTACATTTCTCACAAGATTTTTCTAAAATCACCATTGTGGAAGCCCCTCTCTCAGGGGTCTTAGGGGCAGTAGCCCCTTCTGCCCTTCCTTAAATTCGGCCCTGGTTTCATATGACTATTCAAAGCCAGTTGCTATCTGCATACTTTGCTGTAATGTGGACAAAGCCTTTGTCCACCGGAGGTCTATTTAAGTTTCCTTTTCGTCTTCTGTGCCTGTTTTCGGGCTTTTCAATAAGTAGTTAAAATCAACCTTAACAAAAAAATAAAACAATGTAGAATCTATGTCTCACACAATACTATAAAATTAAGTTCCTTCTTAGAGACAGAAATGTCTGACATTTAGTGTTACCCTTTTTAATGAGAGTGATATGTGGCTAGCACAGTCATCACAAATGTCCTTAATCTAACCCAGTGATACCCAACATAAATCGACCTGCGGGTCATTTTAATTACCGATACTGGTGCGCGGGCCACATAAAGGAAAAGTACAAAAGCGAAATGAAACTGACCTGAAACTATTTGATTAGAGACCCGTGAATCTAGCACTTACATTCATTACTGGGATATTTGTTTTTCATGCGTCAGAAAACGGCTTCATTTCTATACTAAAAATATGAGCAACAGTGTAGCTAGCTTTACCTACGACTTATATTCTTGTCTCTTTTTGGTAAATATTCACATTAATCTTCCAATCTCTAGACGTAGTTTAACCATCTTTTGATTCAAATAACGTCAAATTTGTTTTGTCATTGCGTTTCTTTTTATTTGTTTTAAAACAGCCACAAACTTTAATTACATCTCAAATATATAGTGTGGCTTGTTATCATGTTCTGCCAAAAAGTAATTGTCCTTTCTTTTATTTTTTTTTTTTTATAAAGAGTCCAATCTTATAAACGCACTTATGTTAGTCATGGTACCAATCAATCTGAGAAAAATTGAGGACCCTAACGTAGGTAAAGAGACATTTTTAAACCTTTTCTTTTGGGAAGGGTAGCGGATTTTCTACACTTTGTGTAGACATTTCGGCGGGCCGGATGGAACCACGTCGCGGGCCGGATCTGGACCTCGGGCCGTATTTTGGGCATCATTGCTAACAATTTTTTAGGTGAAGGTCATTAAGGGTTAGAGCTGCTAACAGTCCTATTTTTCTGAAAGTGAAATGTAGGAGTCTATTACTGGAAATCTGGTCACACCATTATGGTATTAGCGTACGGAAACATACATCGGGAAGAATTCCTGTATATTTCTATTGAGTGCCCAGTTCGTGAGGAAACCGTTATTCCCAGCTTAAGGGACATTGATGACATGGTGAAACGGTAAGGCTACCTGATTTTTAAATTTATTATTGCCTGGTCGCGTGGTATGCGCGCTGGAATGTCGTTCGGTTGTCTCAATGGTTCCGGGTTCATACCCTACCCACTGCTGGAGGTTTGGACTAGAAAGTAGATTATCTTCAACTCCTAAGGAACATCCGAAACATGTGTAACAAATATTTTATTGAATTATTTGCACCAGGCACGTTGCGAAATTTAACAGACGTTCCTGACTCATGCGTAAAATGTCTGATTCCCAAGGCTCGAACCTGAGATCTTCCAGTCATTTTTCAACACGTCTATTTAATAAATCATTTTTAAATGAATGAATGTCATATGACTGTAATGCAAGATGTTCGAAACCTACATAGATATTCAGAGGAGATTCTTAACCAGAAAGAACTTGGTGAGAGAATTCCAAGGAAGTCGCATGGTGTGTCCGACCTGAAGTACAACAGGGACAAAAGATGCGAATGAAAGAGCATATCAACATTAGGCCTTAAATAGTAACTCTACAGCTGTTCAAAGGCTCAATGAAACTTACCTTTAAATGTATTTCTTATGTTCTTCACAGCAGGTTCCAAGTTCAATATTGAAAGTTTTGGCCTTGGCTTTGGCACAGGTCTAGGAATACTTTTTGTTCTTGTTGTCATCATAGTGACTGTGTGTGTGTGGTGCAAGCACACACGTGTTTCCTCGAGACTGAAACAGAGTTCTGATCGGATGACCTGTCAAGTCAAAACAATCTTTAGCGAAAGACATGCACACGGAGCTAACTTCTATGTGACTAAACATGACTGGTAAGTTTCTCAAAGTAAAGTACATCCACTTGGAAATAACTTCTGTTTTACTAAGCATATCCACCTGGAGACTAGTGTATCTTTACAATTATGCCATTTTAAAAATGATATATGAAGCTGATGGTGTTCCATAACTTTTCATTTCATAGCTCATAAAATATTTAAATAGAACTACGTCATTTAGTGTGTTTTTAATTTTAATTTGTAATTACAAGAGCAATTAATGAAGTGATCGTTATAAAATTGAAATAAAATCTGTTGTCACTCACCACGAGTTTATGTGTTAAATGTCTGCTCGATAGGATAGTGAAGTCAAAATACATGGTTTAAATGTCTGCTCGATAGGATAGTGAAGTCAAAATACATGGTTTAAATGTCTGCTCGATAGGATAGTGAAGTCAAAATACATGGTTTAAATTTGTCATCCTGTTTGAGGTCTGTGCTAATAGTTTGATTTAAAAATCTTAATCTTTTTTTTTGTGGTAACATTTTTCTTCGTAGGCTCCAACAAAAATCAGGCAGAGCATTCTAAATATTACCAATATTTAATATCCTACCAAGGTCCTACCAAGGTGATCTATTATATATAAATCGTTCTGTCATATTGTCTTGTAGCATTTGTGTGTTTGCTACTTTCGATTAATGTTTATTTTCAACCTAATATACAATTATTTTACGTCTAAAAACTGATTTCAATCCAATGTTTAATATGGGGGTATCGTGACCTCATCAGTTTGGCTTACATATAGATCTAGTTTAATGGTTTCTTGTGAGTTTCCGTTTGAAATTTTGTGTAATGCATGTAATGTTTAGACCAGCTAATGGTAAAGTAATCTACTAGAGAATTTTTTTTAACATAAGTATTTTTGAAAGTATTAATAAAAAATTCTTCAATTTTTGAAAGGAAGTAGTGTGTATCGTGTTAACAATTATGAAAAGATATGACAATGCGAAGAAGCTCAGACGATGTGTATCTATAAAACAAATGTGTCAAATAAATGAATAAATAAATAATAAATGAGATCATATCAAAATAAAGATATTCATAATTAACCAAAAAAAATGTAGTATCACGGTTTCAACTAAAACAAAAACTGATACTAAAGATCAATCACGTGTAAAAAAAATGGACAAAAACGTTTAGACCGTTTGAAAGTTAAAACCAAGTTTCACTCACCGCTTGATGCAAGGCAATGCCAGTAGGAGGAATAGAACAGTACAGCATTCTCATCTACAGTCTTTGAATTCTCAATTAGAAACAAGGTTACAAAGACATTTTGTATGGAAACACCAACTCAAAATCAGTCCCCGAAGTGGTCCACCCAGGCAGGTGAAAAAAGGCAGGTTTCAATATTTTCAGAAAGAATATCAGAATGAAATTCTATCAAAGGCAAATGACAGAGAAGAATGGAGAAAGAAGGTGGACAGATCTTTTGTGGTGCCCCAACGGTCCAGCAGACCAAGGGATAGGTGAAAATGAAGGTGAAGTTAGATGTTAATTTGGCCTAATATGTCATATAATTGAGCAAATTGTTTTGTAAAGGGTCAATCTCTTATTCAAAGCCTCAAGAAAAAAAGGAAAAAAAAGTCCTTTAGTTAATTATGTGTTATATGTACATTGCACAGCATTGCAGTTCATGCGATAATATGGAGAACTACTCATTATGTTGTTTTTACAATATGTTCCACTTATATGCATATTAATAAATAAATGTAGTAGTTAGTACGACAGAACTTACTTAATTAACTTAGCAATACATTCGTGAAAAAAATATTTTTTTTGACAAAAATCTAAAAACGTTTGCATAAATGTATTAAAAATATGGTGAATAGTCATCTCCCTTACTAAATAGCTTCCCTTGTTTGTTACTATTAATAGTGAATAGTTGTAAAAATTATGTATTTTTATGAAAATTCTGCTTGCATAGTTTATTTTAAAAACTAAATTTTTCGCTTTCAGAAAAGAAAAAAGCCGTTGCATCAGAATTTTGAAAGGTCTAAAATATCATGATGTCGGATTTTCAATATCTTTTCTAGTTTACGAGATCTAAACGGGACAACGGACAGACAGACCACACAAAACTAATAGCGTCTATTTCCCTTTCGGGAGCCGCTAAAAATCTCTTTGAAAATTTGAAGATTGGTAATTGAAAGTAAGGACGAAAAAAATCGATTGTAAATAGCTTCACAATATATTTGTCCCAACAATAATCTCCTGCGTAACATTGGTGTATTTGTCTAAGGCCAAATAATAACTGATCTGTACACTTTGGGTAATGTAATAAGTGGCTTTCCTATGTTGTCGCAGAGGACATTTCAAATGTGTCTGAATGTCTTTAAATTTTGAACCGAAATAAATGTAGATTAATTAAGGCATGAGTAAAACTTGGATACAATGTCTTTCTAATTTTAATTGTAAAAAAAATTGTATATAATCACAAAGCTTATATCAACTCTCTCGTCTGTCTGGTAAAAAGTTTGTTGTACACGTTATTTTTTCCACACCCAATCTCGGATTAACCTGAAATTTATCAACATGTTACGTGTTACCTGAAAACACATGAATCAATTTAAAAAAATCAACAATTAGTTCATTAACTTTTGGTCATTATTAGTTTCTTGTTTTGCATCTCGAACAAGCGAAAGAAATTTTATTTGACTGAAGTGGTGATATACAATGGATTAGTCCCCTTTATCCCGGAGCTCGGTGAACACAAACATGACATAAACAATAGATAACTATACGATCTTCACAAGCTCTTCTCTAGCAGAGTGGTTACCTTGTTGGCTTGAGAAGCTTTAGCATACGAGTTCGAATTCATGTCTTTACCCCCTTTTTTTATAAGTACATTTTTAAAAAGTCATCACCCAGATACCTCGTTCTTTCTCCCCCTTCCATTCCAACTGGTCCAGACAAGTGATAGGATCATAGCGTAGTGACTATCCCAGACAGGTGATAGGATCATAGCGTAGTGACTAGCCCAGACAGGTGATAGGATCATAGCGTAGTGACTAGCCCAGACAGATGATAGGATCATAGCGTAGTGACTAGCCCAGACAGGTGATAGGATCATAGCGTAGTGACTAGCCCAGACAGGTGATAGGATCATAGCGTAGTGACTAGCCCAGACAGATGATAGGATCATAGCGTAGTGACTAGCCCAGACAGGTGATAGGATCATAGCGTAGTTACTAGCCCAGACAGGTGATAGGATCATAGCGTAGTGACTAGCCCAGACAGGGGATAGGATCATAGAGTAAAAAAACAACAATATTTCAAATCGCACGGATTTATATTATTAATCTAGATCTAGTACAAAGTTAATTACTTGACTGGCCCAAATTAATTGTTACATTTTTTACAAGCTTTGTTGTTGTTTAAAAAGTATGTTTTTTTGTGTGTATTTTTCTTGTTTACATTATATTGTTATATTGTGGATTTTTTGTTGTTGTAAAAAATGGTATTAAAAATGTCAGTGTTAATTGTGTCCATAAAACTAATCTAGTTACAAGATGACTGTAGCAATGACAATATTATGTAAGAAAAATGAATCTATCTTTGTTTTTATCCCTTTACAAATCGGATTGATTTTGCGCTTTTCATATTTACATATTCCAGTGAAGATAATATAGAATGTCCCAGTCCTATGAGAACCTTTGAAAACTACGATACAGATACAATTAGGCCGATAAAGACAAATTATTGAACATTATAAAATGCAATTTGGACAAATTATTGAACATTATAAAAGCAATTTAAGTCTCAGAAATCCAATGTGATTATGATTTATAAACTACACCATACAAATGACATAGACTTATACAGATCCCTTTTTCCAAATAGGCCTACTATTTGCTTCAATTATGACATGATTGTATTTAGTTGTGAAAGAAGAAGCTGACATAGTCCACAACACGTTGATTGTTAAAGTTGGCCTCGTTAATATTTCTTGGTTCATCACCATAATGAAATTCTCTAAACCCCATTTCTCTAACTCTTGAAATAGTCTGAAAGAATAATAAAAATAATAAAAAAGAATAATAAAAAATATTTATTATTTTTGTTTTCAATTTTATAAAAATAGATCTAAAAACAATCCGAAACAATGAGAGAAAATCATGAGAAAAAATATACTCGATATAAAAACAAACAAACAATAAGAAATAAAGTCACATTAAAAGAAAATATACTGCTAAATTAACACATAATTTACAAAGAGAAGATCTATCTATAATGAGTAGGTTTACTTAATTATCCATCTATGGTATGGCCTTTTGTACATTCGAAATACATTGAATTAAACCTTCAAACATGCATACTTGCTAATGGCCTTTAAAGTATGCACAATACTAGCTGCTGACCATTAAAATAAGATTATAATATTCACTAAAATTACCTGATACAAATAGACATATACACTAAAATTACCTGATACAGATAGACGTATTCATTTTAATTACCTGATACAGTTAGACATATTCACTAAAATTACCTCATACAGATAGGCATATTCACTTTAATTACCAGATACAGATAGAAGTGTTTACTAAAATTACCTGATACAGATAAACGTATTCAGCCCTGGCTGGAAAGGAAGGAAATAAATGGTACTCGATCAAAAATTGTCGAACTTGTTTCAGAACATCTGTCTCTAACAAATTATCAACAACTCCCCATTCATAGCCTTCAATATCCATTTTAAGAACATCTATAGTCCTCTAGAAAACAAAACATAACCATGTATACTATATTCTGATATGTAATAAGTTGCACTAAAATGTGTCACGAGAGTAATAAGTGAGGTTGTAATGCATACATGTCATGTGATTAATATGTTTTTTTTCTCAAGAATAAATATCCTCAATATCTATCTATCTATCTATCTATCTATCTATCTATCTATCTATCTATCTATCTATCTATCTATCTATCTATCTATCTATCTATCTTGAAATGGACAATTTATTTCAATTTTAAAAAGTTTAAAATGGACAATTTATTTCAATAAAATAAAGTTTGAAATGAACAATTTATTTCAATTTAAAAAAAGTTTAAATAGACAATTTATTTCAATAAACAAGAAGTTTGAAACGGACAATTTATTTAATATTTTAAAAAGTCACCTCTTCATGTCCTAACTCTTTTATCAATGACTTCAATGTTCTCATTTTCCAAGATTGGACGTTTTTCACATAGACGTCTTTTCTTGGCTCGTAGGCATCGGCGTTGACATTGCTGAGACCCCACTTATAGAAATAGGAAAAGTTTCCATTCTTCCTCTTATGTGTCTCCATGTTCATACTGGTGGTGTAACAAAATATTTATTGGCTTATTGTCACTCTTAGCTGATAATTTAAAAAAAGGAATTTTAAAAATTGTAAAGATACGATTCAGATACAAATTTCTAGTTATTTTTTTTATATTCAAGACCAAGGAGACCGTCCTACTGCCCACGGGACATACTCGGTCAACAACGGCCCTAAATAGCAGGAAATCTGCATTAAAAATACACAATGTAAAATACAAATGGTAGGGATTCTATCTGATAAAATGTATTTAGTAAAAGAACTTGGTACACGCGCCTCACATAGAACTAAATGTTTTAGGACCATTTGCTAGAAAATATTGGTCGAAAAAAAACATGGCCAAAATGGACCCAATCATTAATTACTCCACTGCCCAAGAAAGGAAACTTGAGAGAATAAACTATATATATACTATAAAAGTGGTGTATTTTTATGAAAAAAACTGCTTGCATAAGTCATTTAAAAAATTAGATTTTTTCGCTTTCAGAAAAGAAAAAAGTAGCCGTTGCATCAGAACTTTGAATGGTCTAAAATCTTCTATAGTATACGAGATTTAAACGGGACGGACGGACAGACAGGCACAAAACTAATAGCCTTTAATAAAACTAATAGCTTTTACCCTTTCGGGGGCCGCTAAAAACATTTCCGTACAAAAAAAAAATAAAAAAAATAGTAAAGTGTACTATTTTGATATTTGACAATTCCAGTTCAGGTAATAATATGAATATTTTATGCATACTAAATAGAATTTTTTCTTTAGAAAAAAGAACATTTTTTATGTGTGTAATTGTAATAATTATTATGACAGAACTTACATAACTTAGCAATATAAATGCAATCAAAATTTTTTTTTTTTTACAAAAATCTAAAACCATTTGCATAAATATGTTAAAAATATGGTATATTGCTATTTCCCCTTCTAAAGAGCCTCCCGTGTTTGTTACTAGTAATAGTGAATAGTTGTAAAAGTGGTGTATTTTTATGAAAAAACAGCTTGCATAAGTGATTTAAAAAATTAAATTTTTCGCTTTCAGAAGAGAAAAAAGTAGCCGTTGCATCAGAACTTTGAATGGTCAAAATATTATGGTGTCAGATTTTCTTTATCTTTTCTAGTTTACGAGATCTAAACGGGAAGGACGGACAGACAGACAGACATTTCACACAACACTACAGCATCTTTTCCCCTTTCGGGGACGGCTAATAATGCTAAGTACAGGCAGGCTTCAGAGCAGGTAGAAGTACTGTTGAGCACCACGCGATGACGATTATGGTCAATACTTGAGTCAATACTCAAATCTCAGACCACTTGAACTGCAGAGCTTTCAGAGTTTCTTACAGAAATTGAATTTTAACCTTAAGTTTGAGTTTCCCATTGGTTAAGTCTGCTGGTATAAGTCTTTAGGCTTGTGTTTCTCATGGTCAAGTCTTTTGGTTTAAGTCTTAGGGCTTGTGCTTCTCATGGTCATGTCCGCTGGTTTAAGTCTTAAGGCTTGTGTTAGTCATGATCAAGTCTGCTGGTGTTAGTCGTGAATAGCTAGTAAATATTTTTTAATTTGAAAAAAATGGAATTGAAATTTATACTTCGGAGAAATCAACTGAATGGCATCAGCTTCAAACAATAAGAAAAAGAGAATACTGACACATTTCAAGCTATACAGACAAGCCGAAAAGGATAGGGATCGGTGATCAAGAGAGACTATTTCAAGGGGAAAAAAAATAAATATACATTTTGTTGGGCGATAGCAATTCATCGATGATGTTCCTCCCGTTATCTAGGTCAGGGTTTTACTTCAGTATAAATCCAAAACTCCCCAGCACTGACTACGCCCACGGATGAATCCAAAGATGTCGCTAGATTAAATTTACAACTATCAATTGTCAGTTAAACATGTTACCAGATTTGATAAGAGATTTAATAATGTGAGCATGTTTGAATGGACCTACTACAGGAGATTTATACGCTGTATCAATGATTGCGTTACACTTGAAGAGAAAGGTTGGGAGAAATATGTGTACAGACAATTGTCGTGCATTGGTAGGAAACATGAACGCTGACTACAGTGTTTATAAACATGTTCTAAGAGTCATCAGTAGTTTTTGTTTTGTAATGGCACGTTGGTGCTAGGAAATATTTCCATAAACTTGACAAAATGTTAAAGAAAAGCTTTAAAAATCAACGAAGTGTTCCGTTACCTAAAAGTTAGGACATCACGAGAAGTAGATTGTAGAAGAAGCACTTAGTCAATGAGTTAACTGATAGAATGGCCACTTTATATTTAAAACAATTACATCATAGAAAATGGTCATGTAATGATATAAAGTTTATAAAGTTAAACGGTTTAATCATTTATTTTATTTTAAGTAAATCAACAAGTTATTAAAAACAGATTCGGTGAAGAGAAGAACATTAAATATTGTATAATTTTTTTTTTCAATTTCCATTGACCCTTCAGATGTTAGTTAAGATATAGTTGGGCTTATAAGTTAATGAATAAGGGGAGGTACCTTGGATCAAATGAATGGACCTCACATCCTAATGAAACCATAGCATCGTCAAAAGAAAAGTCATAGTTGATACTGTAGAAAAAAAAGAAAGAAATGCGAACAATAGAGGTAGGGCTTAATTAAGTCATGA